GGTAGCTGATGTTAGAATTGTTCAGCTGGCTTGCCTACGATTTCCTGTTTCTTAGACAACTTCACAATCAACTCACCTCCCCACCTGCACCCCAAGTTCTACCACAAACGAGGCCTCAATGACAATAGCTGGTCTGCGATTTCTGGTCCATCATGAACCCATTGGAAACCTGGGTAATAAACCAAATCCGAGAGGTGCCTTTACCCATCGCCGACATATCCACAATAATGTTATGCAATGTATTTCTCTGGTAATTCATCTGGTATGAATTCATGTAAGAGAAGTCGACTAACAGGCAACGTATCTCCCTGACAATGCCGCATACCTCACCGTGAAATCTGTGAGGTTTTACACGTGTGTAAAATCCACCGCTGCTGAACGACGATTCTTCCAGTCCTTAATTACTTGCACCGCAACAAATATATCCAGCATTATCAATCAAAACTTCTGGGAAAGGTAACACTCGAAGAGTGAGAAGTGCTTGAACTAGTATATTCACTTGGATTAAATAGTTACGTGGATACTTACTCATTCCTGAAATCATCGAAGTAAGTTATTATTGGTCAATAAAGCTAGGAACATAAGAACTGCTGTTAAAATGGACGTTTGTCTGATGAAACATTGGGTTTTGCAGACGGGTAAATCATTTTGTCTACTCATAACGCAAACACCGAGCATTACACCGATTTGATTCCACTGCAGTGTGAAGAAGGAACTGTGAGTAGGAATGACCTAGATTCACACCCACGTATGTTCGCCATGGTGGTATTTTCCTGCTCACTTCATAACTTTCAGACGCTTGATATCATGACAGAGTTTAACATCCTCCTCCTATACCTTTAAACACTGCTCAAATCTTTCAGGTTTCTCAACTATTATCAATTTGATGATGCTTGTAAAACGGCTTACTTCACGTCGAATTCATGACCTGTTTTGATGCCCCAACTTTTGTAGCAAATATTGTTATTGATCTGAACATTTTAACGTGTCATTCCCACACCATCGAGTTTGTAACTCAGTCCAGAATTTCTGCTTCTGAATGACCGAATCCTACACAAGAACCGACCCTAACGTCGAATGATATCGCTGCTGCTACGACTGGTCAACTTGCAACGGGACGAATAAATATAAATGAATAAATAGATATTTTATTCTCACATTAGTGATTGAACATGAGAGAAGGCAGTTTGCAGGCATCACCACGTTGATATATGCTGCAAAATCTACAAGATTTTACGGGACCTGAATGGTATTGAAGGGAGATAATTAAATTAGATTAAAAACATCAGAGGATTATGCAAGTCATGATATGAACGAGAAAACACCACTTTTCAGCATGTACAGAGTGTTAGGGCCTGGATCGTTTAGAGTCACACTTTCTTTTTCACCACTGGTAGCACGAGTTTAGTTCAATCCAGACGCCAGGGTGATCACGAAGTGCGTGTGGTTCGCCAGAAATCTAATTCCTCTGCATCCATTTCCGACCAAAAGCCCCCTGGTTCCTTGCCTCCTGCTCGTCATCCCAGCAGCCCATAAAATACCAAAAGAGACACGAAGAAGACCCCTCCGTCCCCCTGCTGGCATTGTGGCGCGTAGCATTTCGTCGAATCTTGTCTTTGTAAGCATAATAAATGCAGAGATTGCAGCACTGTGGGTCACAAAGATGGAGTTTGCAAGCAGCCCTCACCGCAAAGAACAAGCATGTTACCATCCAGTTACCGTCGAAGATCGGAGTCTCGACCAGCCGGCAAATCTCTTAGTCTTACTGCTGCTTTTCAATCACACCCACTAGCACGGAAAAAGTTTAACACCTTCCTTTTTAGGAATCCAATTGGAAATGAACTGCTTGAGACCGCTTCCGATCCGTATGTTTTCACTGGTAGGGTCTCCCTGCTGAGTTTGGGTTCGGGCCTTCTCATCGCCGTTGGCAAATTAAAGGTATCCAGTAGAATATCGAGTGGTACGGCTGGGCTCTCTGGTTGATTGGCTTTTCTGTGACGCATCCGGTTCTCGTGTTTCGCGTTAGGTGCAGAATAATCACTTATAGGCCTCGTAAGCGTGTCTGTATGTCCAAAGTCTTCTGTTCGGCGGTACTTAATATCGGAATCATAGCCTGATAATGTTACCACCCACCGTTGAAATCTGTCGGTGGAATGGGCTGCAACACCATGTTTTGACGCAAAGATTGAGAGGAGGGGCCTGTGATCGGTGAACAAGACGAATACCCGTCCACACAGGATCTTGTGAAAGCGTATGAGCGCAAAAGCTGAGGCGGGTCCTTCCTCCCCTATCTGTGAGTGGCGTTTTCCTGCCGACGCGAGTGATCGAGATGCATGCGTGGCAGCTGTTTGTGAAGTGTCCGGATATTCGTGCAGTGGGACAGCCCCAACACCAGCGGTGGGAGTACCTGTGGCAACGACGATTGGTAGCTCTGGGTCATAATGTGTTAACAGCAGACCAGATTTGAGAGTGGACTTGAGTCGTTCCATAGCAGTTTCATATTCTCTTGACTAGGAGCATGTGACATCATCGCGTGGGAGACGATTCAAAGGTTCCCGTATTTGGTGTTAAAAGAGGGCAGGATCGCCGAATAGTAACTGATGAGACCAAGGCAGGATCGGAGAGTCGCGACAGCTGTTGGCATGGACATCTGCTGCATGGCGCGAATGTTTTCGGGATCGGGACATCTACCAGACACATAAAAGATGAAACCTGAATGTCCACGTTTCTCCTTTCTGAGTGGGAGGCAGTCGTCTTGGATTCGTTGTAGGATCAACTTTATTTGATCCATAATTCCGCTGAGCAGGTGGTGACTGATTTGGGATGGATAAAATTATACACTTCTGGAATCATCAATGAAGTACAACGAGTGAACAATTCGTGCACACAACCCCTCATAAACTTTTCATCATTATCTCGAGCCCAAACTACAGACTGTTACAATGGAAGCATTAGCTTCAAGCTTCATTTTTCTCCAGGCAGTACATGTGGTGTAGAGATACAAACCCGGTTTTTCGTTAGCGCAAAGACAATACTTCCACTTGTTCAACTGGTAAACATTCTGCATACTCATTCTCTGTTGGGATGTCTCATGATGTGAACATGCAGCACTTATATCTTCCAGTGACAATAGGTGGGGATTGAGATTGCCTTCCATGAAGACGTGTAATTTATGTCGAAACTTATTTGTACCTGTAAAAATGGTGTGTGCCCGTATACTCAGGAATAGTAATAATAGTTATTGTCGTCATGACATCGTCGAGGTATGCAGGAACACCTGTTATGCCTGCTGGCATATTCGCGGAATTTCTGAGCGTTCCTCCAATAAGAGTTTATGAAGTTGCCACTTTCTACACTATGTTTAACAGGTTGGTACCATAGTAGCAGGTATTTTGTGATTTCTAACATTACAGTCAACATTTCTGTTCCTCTACAATATTTTTAACGGAAGTTCTGTTTTTGTTTGACCTTGCCGTATTACACATCTTTCAGTAACTCTTCTTACTTCTAGTTAAACTGTGAGGCTATAAATATTTTCCTGAAGTTTTGTAGGTGCTTCCTATTTTCAGTGCTAGACCAAGTTGCCTTTATGTTCCTTTTATTTCGAATGCGTGTTATTCAGTTCCTACAATGACGGTTCCTATAAATTTGCATATAAGACCCGATACTTATTTCCAACCCTTTTCCTCCTAGTTGGATGAAGCCTCTAATAACGGAAAATATAGCGTACAAGCTAGAATATATATCGTAAACTGAAATAGAGACAACAAATTCCGTTACCCCCTGTTGGCAACGGACTCTGAGGGTCGCAGTTTCGACACCTGGCGAGGTCTTGTGTGCGCGCTGTTGAGGAGTCCCATACTGGGACAAAACAGCTGTCCAGTGCTTCCAGATTTCCTTCGTTCCTCCAACTGATGTCGTGCCATGAAAGCGCTTCGCAAAAATTGGAATTATGTGTATACATATATATCGAAAATAAATTTTACGCTTATTTCCACCGTCCTTTTTTTATAAAAGAAAAGTTTTATCACATGGTAATAAAAAATTGACATAAGAGAGGCAAAATGTACGAGGAGTTTTGCATTGCTGGTAAATAAGAAAAATGGTGCCTCTGAAAAAAATCTTATTCCACACCACTAAGTTGAATGCGACTTCAAATACTCCAAGAACCTGGCGGTTCGACCTGATCGTGTTTTCTGCCGCGCCCACGTTTGTTGTAGCTGTGCATTATCAGGCGCATCGTCAAGAATTTAGATAATTGGGCTATCCATCGGTATTGTTATGGCGTTTAGCCTTCGGTAATAACCGGTTGGACGCCAGTCGTCGCTACCCCTTTTGGAAACCATGTGCAATGGTGATGCCCAACGACTGTTTGACGGTTTGATAATGTCCAGTTCGAACATGTGGTTGAATTCGCTTTTTTCCGTTTTGAGCTTATCAGGGGCTAGATGGCGCGCTTTGGATGCCACAGGTGGACCTGTGGTTGTGACGTGATGCATAACATTGCTGGTTGTGCACGGAAGAGTGCGCTTCAGTTGTCGCGACTCTGGATATTTCTCCAAAACTGCTTGGTAGGGCGCGCCACCTGATTGTTTGGTTCTAACGATGGCTGAACTTGGACCTACATAGGTGGTGCCGCCAATAGATAACTTTGTGTTGTTACCTACCAGTCGTCGATGACGAGCATCTACGAGTAAATCGTAATGGGTTAGCAAATCTATGCCAATGATGGGCATAGACACGTCAGCCAGGGGGAAAATCCAGTGGATATGTTTACGTAAACCTAAGTTGAGGCAGGCATATAGTCTCCCAAGTGTCGCGATTGCCTTGCCCTTGGCTGCTTGGAGATTGGAGGATGGGTCAAGATGACGCTCCTTTGTCGTTGCTGGAAGAACGCCAACTTCTAAGCCGGTGTCGAGGAGGTAGAGAACTTTCGTTTCAACACCCGTGACGTAGAGCAACAGAGGCTGTTTCCACCCGCCACGGTTGCCGCGAGCACGTGCCGGCATGACTGTTTCCGGAGTTTGTGTCCTCGTTAAAACTGCATGGTTTCCGGCATTTTCTGGCTTCTTCTTGGTAAATGTTATGAAGCCAGCACCATTTGAGTTTTTCCACTCTGTTAGGTTTAGTTTTGGGGCTACCACGCGAGTTGCTGCGATGCTCTAAGGTGCGTTTCTTTCAAGTGCTACGTGACCTAGGACTTCGAGATCGTGGCGGCTGTTTAACAGAGTTGCACAGCTTGGTCACCTCTGAATCCTGGCACTCTGGTTTGCCGCAGACAGAATATACTTTGCAGACGGGCCCGCCAGAAATCTCCAGTATTTTACCTGCCGAGGCTGCCAGGTCATCGAGTGGGACTAACTGCAGTGTCACCGACACTGTTTGCACCGGTTGTGGTAGTTTCGGGAGAAATAGTTCTCGGGAAAGGCCATCGTCGAATGTTTGTGCACCCATAACTCCTCGCATGCGTGCGAGGACTTCAGTAGCTGAGTGGCTGCCCAGCTCGATGTTACGAAGCAGTTTGCCTAGGCGCTGGCGATCTGTGAGATCGCTTTTTTCAAGAGTGTGGCCTTGAGAAGTGTATAAGGATCACTTACTTCAGGATTAAACATGTGTACTGAAACGTGTCTGTTTAATTCCCGCGGTAGTGAACGTATGACGGCGAGAAATTGAGAATGAGGATCTGAGACGCCCTGTTCTCGAAAATCTGCCTCAGCATACGGAAACCATGTTTCCGCATTGTCTGGCCAATATGGCACGAGTTGGATCGTGTTCGTAGTCGGCTTAATACGAATAAGCTTGGGAGTGTGGTCGGACATGAGAAAGTATAGTAAATGGATGTGTAAATGTTATCGAAATGAAAACAATATACAAATATAAAATGGAACAGGCTCACCACTTCAATATCTGTTATTGTTCGGGATATGTAATCACGTCAAGAAATTTGATCACTTTGGGATATTTGATCACGTCAAGTTCTCCAATTTGGGATTTGTCCTGGTGTGAACTTGACAGACGCAAAGACCAATCACTAATTATACGGACTTGTTATATACCCACAAATACGAGGCCAAGGAAGAACACGATAGCGTAGTCGGATGGAATAGTATATTTGGATGGTTGTGCCAAAATACCGATGCGTTCCAACTAACTGGCTAGAGAGTCGAATACGAGCAGTGCAACGTAACACGACAGCGTGCCAAATGGCGAGGATGTTTGACCGGGTGCCTTCAGCTTAGCGAGTCCAGTTAAACTATCAAGGTCAGCATCGATGTTGAATGTCGTCGAACCCAAAGCTGTTGGTTTTGGGGAAGTGTGTGACGCTACAATGGAATGTTTGGCGTATCATCTCAGTGTAATGTACTTCTTATTTTCCCACTACTTAATTACGCAACTGTTGGTGTGCTCTGGGTTGTCCTTATTTGATTCAGCATCGCTGATGGTGGCTACGTTTCATTTTTCAACTTGAACTACCCAGCTGTACATTCATAACCTCTTTTAGAAAAGCCCTTGTTCACTGCGTTTACATTTCATGGGTGTATCCGCAAAAATAGAATGGCAAAATGAGATGGATATCACTTAATATAAGATCTGCGGATATATTAAGAAGCTAACTCAAAATGAGTGTGACACAGGTTCTTGAATTTCAGTGTATTGAATGGCATATAAATATTCATTTTCTGATACAGCATAGGCACAAGAAGTATATCACTCAAAATTATATTAAGACATGAAAGTGATAGAGAAAAGAACAAAAGCCAGTAGCAAAAGAATTAATGGGTTATCAGCATATCAGACTACGTCAGAACAAGCTTCCATTAATTTTCTTTAACTTCTCAGTAACACACAAAGCAAGAAGGTCACAGCATGATTGCCTCTGATTTCGGTTTTGAGTCGTATCTGATAATGCTTCAATTCCCCCAGACCCAAATCATGAATTCTTGACTAACCATTAGATGTGTCAACTCAGCAGATCTGTCCTTCGTTACGCACGAATAGTGTACTGTATTGAAGCTACTGCGGCAACACACTTAACTTACGCAGAATCTACCGAAGGCGATGTGTTGAGATGACATCATCCAAAGAATGGCGACTCCATCACACCCAAACGTGCGCTGTTTGATCTTGAGATTCCCTATATGGTGTTTCCGTAAGATACTATAAATCCTTCAGAAATGACAGTGATAAGGTATTTCTGAACATCACACATCTGCAGCTTGGTAAGCTAGGCGTCACCGACATGGGATGAAACTGCCCGTACTCTTACTTTTTACACCTGATGTTCTATATCCAGGCTAACTTCTCGACAGCGCGTAAGGTGATCTGGGTTAGAGTATATCACTCTGGATTTTGATATACTCGTTGAAATTTTATTCGTCGAATGTCTACCGGTAATCATGTAAATAACCGGATACACAAATACTTTTATTATTATTTTCACCAGTTCATCATCAACATTGAGTGCAAATACAGACTCCTGCTAATCTTGCGTATTCTATGGCATTTCAATGGTGCGAACATCATGCCGTTCTTATGGACACCAATCGCTGATCGAATAGGTAGCTTGTTCTCTCAGCAGGCAGGTGACTGCATACTCATGGTCGGATTTTTTTATGTTGGTAGCAGATTTACATAACCACTACTCGCCACCTACAGAGCTGTTTCGAAAATGTCAACAGTAACAGAGTTAAGAAGAACTGGAGAAATTTGACAAACTTGCCTAACCTTTAAAAAAAATAATAAAAGCTTTTTTCTGATAGCTATTTCGGGAATACTCTACAGAATTTTCAGCATGTCATACAGCATCAATTAAGCAGAGATAGTGTACATGTATACCTAGCAAAATGAAATAAGTATAAGTTGCATGTTTAAAAAGATACAAATATTCACCCTATTTACAGCTTTCCTGAAAATGTGCAGTTAATTTAGGTAGACAGTCACATTAGCAATTGGATTCATAATACGTAAATAGTAACATGCTTATCATCATCAATTAGTTTGTTTTCAAAAACGCAGGTTGGTTAGTTAGTTGATCTGTAATACTTTTTTCATCGCACAACAGATGAGCTAAGTATGGTACTGTAGAGATTTTATATTTATGTACTTGCTCTTCGTCTTTCCAGATGACCGACACACAGAGAGGCTTGGGTGAAGAGGATGCTGGTCATCTGATAAAATAATCCCTGCCAGATGTTTACATGAGTTAATATGTTTGTCCACAACTTTTAGCTAGAATGTTTAGAGGTAAACCACTAGTTCTGCTAACAATTTTCAAATTTCTACGCAATACAGCATAGTCTTTTTTCAGCAAGCCGAGAAAAAATGGAGAATAGGCAAGATGCAGGAGTTATTAAAACACAAGAGGAGAGGCTGTTATACCAGATACTCTCAGCTTCCTAATATAGAAAGTTAGGTGGAAAATTCTTTTGGAAATTAGTTAGATATGGGAGAACAAGGAAAGGTTCGAGGAACATCGAGATACATTACACTTATAACATTCTTTAATATACAACTATGAATAGAACAGAAATCATGAGAACTAAGGAATTTGCATAGGTTATACGAGATTTGAAATGGTTGAAAGGTGGTTAAATGACTCCACTCCGCCAGAGATGTTTTTGTATATATCTCACAAAATCTTGACCGAATCAGAGACCTCCCTCTTCAACAAATGATTCTAATCGAATCTTCTTCATTAACATATGTTAACAAAATTTATCTATCGTCTGTTTGTAGAGAACCTGTTGGGAAGTATCACATTCAGATTTGTACTACAACCCCATGTGTGTTAGGAGGTGTAGGCTCGGACATTATTTTGGACACACTCAAGGAAAAGCTTGGTATGTCATTGTTCCAGAGTATTTTAGCATGCTGTTGTGTTCATTGTTTTTTCCGTAGTTGTTAACCAGACCACTTTAAATGTCCATTTTCTCTGCGTGCAACACACCTTCAAAAGGCAAAGGTCTGTCAACAGCAACCTGAACAATGAAATATTAATTCTGCCGGAAACTATGTAAATAATCAGTAACATCAAAAGAATCAGCAGTGATAACAGCATAGTCACCACTTAAATGTTTTCTGGTTCAAGATATTTCTTTCGTCACACACTAATTTCCGTGAGAAGCAGATTTAAGGTAGTGGACAAAGTATTCATCCTTGTATACAATAGTCCTTATTCTTTCGAGTCGTTGGTGACCCTCAGTAGAAAGACTAATCAAAAGTATATTTGATATATTGATTCTCTTAGGCTGTCACTTTTATAATAGGTGATAATGCAACTCAACCAGATAAAGGTTTGTACACTGGGCTTTGAGGAACTACACATGTTGTGTCAGTTCTTACAGTATTCTGGGGCTAAAATATGCAAAGCTAAGTTTGGACTTACAGTCCGTTGCTTGAAAGCAGGGCGTTTAAGCCAATGACGGACTACAATCGTGAAGTTACTAGACTATGCTAAGCGATAAGGTTCAAGTCTTTAAAGAGATACAACATTGTGATATTCTTTGTTGGCAGAAAAAGGGCACTGAAATTGGATTCTAAGTTTACTATTGACTAATTCTAAACGTTGGATACCAAATGCAGTGTATTACGCATTGGCATAACCTATCGCTGAATTCTCAGATCAGTGGACTTCAATCCTCTCTGAGAACTAAATAGCAAAACCAGTGGGATATTTCGCCAGAAAAATAAAAGAGCTGTTTCTTGGTTCAAACTATGTGCAGCTGGAAATTTGTCACAATGGCTCAGAAGTATTCACTCCTTGACATTTTCGAAAGCCTGAATATTTGCACTAATCATTATCTTCAGATTGTTCTCTCACACAACTTTACTTTGATATCAGTCTTTTTCTATCCACTTATTTTTGTATACTTCTGTGAAGTGTGGCGACTTAAACCGATGCAACTGTGTGCGAGGTTCTACGTTGGTTTTTTCTGCTTGGTCTATTACGGCAGTCAGTATTTTATGCTTCTGGAAAATTTAATTTTCTAGTGTATAAAATAGGAAGTGTAATCTAAACATTCCAGTTAATTGTTTGTTTCTCAGTTGTGTATTTCGAACAAAAACTTCGTACACCATGGACACCCAGAAATACGTTAAACAACGATTGCAGCATTGCATCATAGGTCATGTGAAAACTAATCACACTCATCAGTCTCTCGGACCGAAGCGGTTGCCTTAAGAAATCATAACCCAAGCCATTGACTTAGAGTTTGATCCATATAGTTGCGGGGCGACGTCAGGTGCTACATTCCCGGGTTCGCAGTGACCGAACTAAGTTCGTACGCCATTCGTCCGTTCTGGATTCTGGACTTCATATTCACCATTGTTTAGAAATCAAGGTTTCCTAACCCACTCACTCAATGATAATTACCGGATGTTCGCTGTCACTCTCTGATGTTTGTGGAAACACCCCACCGTGTGAAAACAATAAATCCAACTTCTATGACAGACAATTAACTCGTCGCCGTAGTAAGGCGTCTCAAGAGGACTTTCGGCTCTATCGCACCCTTGGTTATACCAAGACAGTGGATGGTGAAAGCAAGAGTAATAATGTCTTAACAGTTTAATCGTGTTTTGTTGGGTTCCCTGTGGTGGATTGGTTAGGTGTGTTTGCACGAAAATAGACAACCACCTACAAAGCACTAGGTAAAATTTTTATTTTCAAGAATAACTCTTTTTTCTCTTCCTCACAGGTATTGAGCCAGGTCAGACAACACCTGATAAAATGTTTACACTAACAGAAGTGGAATGTCTTGGGGCTTGTGTCAATGCGCCTATGATGCAGATCAATGATGATTATTATGTGAGTTCTTAGGCACTTGTTTTAACTTTGACGAAAGCAAGGGATAGTTTTTTTTACAGGATATCTTACCTCATGGTATTGCTCAGTTGTGTGTGTTTACGTAACCAAGCAAATCATAATGTGAATAAAAATTTCAGGGTTTTATTTGATTGATTAGGAATGTATTTGTGACGAAACTTATTACCATACGTTCCTTGGTGACCAGTTAGTAACCGATGTATATATCTGACAGTTAGTACTGATCACTATTCTATCACATTAAATCAGTCGTACCAGTTTAATTAGAAATCACCAAAGTTCCCTCTTACCCATGTATAAAATTTGATTTTTAAAATTGGCTCATATCTCCCTCTATTTTAGGTTATAAAGCAAAGATTGTTTGAAATAAATGTTTAACTATTACTCATTTGCTCTATTTTGTAGGAAGATTTAACAACTGAAGATACAATTCGTATTCTTGAAGAACTGAAAGCTGGGAAAAAACCAAAACCTGGGCCACAGTGAGTTTTTTCCCCGATAGATTCTATAGACGCCTATTATAGTTTTTCAGGGAATGGTATTGCCCGTTTCAGATTTACTTAAGTTGTCCTCCTCCCTAAAACCTTACTCTTTCTCGAATTTAAAAATTTTAAACACTGAAAGTAATGCAGTAGGTTTACAACATGAAAATTGTAACTTTGTCAATAAACTCTAAATTCTCCATATTATTTGCTCTAGTTTGGAACTATAGCTCATTGGTTTAGGCACTTGACTTCCAACCGACGGGTCAAGGGTTCATACCCCACTCGACCTACCGAGGTCTGGGCAGCTAGGTGGTATCAATGGACCTCACACAATGACTGTAGCTCATTACCTGTTGTACAAACCACCATGTGGTTGATGAATGCGTTTCGATTTTTCGTTGTTGAATTAAACCAACCACCTAACAACCCATTACTGTATTCAAAATCGATAAAATCTTCACCTGGAAAACTTAAGTTTATTATCAAGGTGACTTCTTATGTGCACACTAGAACTAGACTAATCATTCTGGGTCAATCTATTTACAACGGAATTTCAACGAACTCTGTTACCTGAAGACTGCCAATTATTTAAAGATAAAGGTTATAACAATGGGTTAGATCAAAGAAGTGTTTTAGTGCAGACAAAAATGAAGGTGATGAAGCAAAGTGTATGTGGCAAACTGGCGATAATGAAATCATATACTCAGGGTACTAGACTAAAAAGATTTAGGTAGTTGTGGATCAGATAGAATGAGTAAAGTGAGGTCAGAAAGAGTATGACTTTGAAGTATGATTAGCATGAAAGTGGATAATGCTCCAAACAGTACTGGTTAAATTTCATCGATTAGTTTGGTCACTAGGCTTAGTAACAGGATTGGAAATGAAGCCGAAATTGAGTTTCGCCCTTTCATATCACTTGCCAAGAAAGCACAGATGTGAAAGGGACTGCTTTCCGTGAAAGTTCCAAGCAATGTTTCTTGCTTGTGAACATATCTGTTCGCCTAATACAACGACCGTAGGATATTGAGAAATATTTGTAACCCAGGATAATGATTTGGATGGGGTGATTTCATCGATTATACCGCTTGTGACCTTGGTCTAAGCACTCACTTGTAGTTGTTCAAACAAGGTGATAGACGACCTCTACCGAAATCTACTTGGTACTTCATTCAAGACCAAACGTACTTGTACCGTAGGACTTCAGTAGACAGATTAAACCATCTTCCAAATAGCAACCTAATAAATAATTGAACAACTGCTCTGCACCAACCATTTGACCTTAATAACAGACATTGTCTAGTCTGGTGGCTATCAGCCTAAACACAAGTGTGAAATCGCGTAGACCACACAGGTATTATGAATTGTTATCCAGTTGCGGTTTCTTTGCAGCAACTAACAGAGTAGAATGACATGATTGCGACGAAATACAGTTTGTATATATCTCTCTGATAAAAGACCTGCTATCATTCTAAGGAATTAGAGTCTTCAAAACCCATTCTTTGAGATGGACACTTTATGATGTGCTTTGCTTTTTGTAGGCGGATTGCATTTCTTGTATACAAACCTCTGCCGTGTCTATAACTATCTGGTTAATGACTGAAACACTGGAATATTTTTGTCTACATTTTAGAAGTGGACAAGGTGGACGATTCGCATCGGAACCAAAGGGTGGTTTAACTACATTAACGACAGAGCCTAAGGGTCCTGGGTTCAAAGTTCGTTCGGATTTATAAAATTAATTTCAGTTAGTCCTAACTTTAAAGTGAAAAATACAGTTATGAGTATGTATAATGAGTCTTGTTTTATTTTACCTAATAAATTATTCATCTTTACTGCCTGTCTTAACACGAAATTATGTAAAATACCCCACTGACACACTACACGGATAATCTCGTTTCGGGTTGAATTCCAGTGGTATCTCTTACTTTGCCATTTTGTTACAATTCAGCGACAGAGATCCAAAAATTTAAAATGTGTCCCATATTTGAAATGTCACAAAACCTCAGAGTTCGAAGTGATTTCATCATCAACATAAAACCAGGCATTACTGCGTAACGTTCCAAGTTTTTATTATTATTATTATTATCTATCCCTTGGGTTCCTAATGGAACATAGGGCTTCAGCAGCACGTCTCCAATGCGCTCTCTCTGAAATCTTTTGAATCTGGCTCCGCGACAGCCCACAAGCTCTCATTTCCTCCTCGCACGATCTCCTCCATGTCAGCCTTACCTCGGACGCCCGACTCGTCGCTCCCCATCGGGATTCTACTCGACGGCCTGGCCTCGTGCGTGATGTCCCCAGTCGGCCTTCTCAGTGTATGCCCAATCCAACCCATCTACACTTCCTTCTGCATAGTTGTTGAGCGATAAGTTCTTGGTTGATTCGTTGCCCGGCTGGAGTTCCTTGTTGTTTATTCCTTCTGGCCATCTGACCTTCACTAACGAGCCAGCGTAGGCAGTTGTTGATGAATGTCTGCAGTTTGTTGGAAATGCCTTTCGTAACGCGCCAAGTCCCTGAGCCATACAGAAGCACTGACTTGACATTGGTGTTGAAAATCTGGATCTTGTTCCACATGCTGAGTGCAGATCTCCACACTGGGTTCAGGCCAATGAACGCCTGTCTTGCTGTCTTTCCGATCCTGGCTGGCTTTGACGTCCTCGTCTGTGCCGCCTGTAGTTGAGACTGCTGCCTAGATAGGTGAAGGAGGCTACTTCCTTTAAGTTTTTTCTTTTGATGGTGATGATCGAGTCCAGTCGACCACAATTAGGGATATCATGGGTGATAGTAGACAGCATTGTTTCACTCCTGTCTTCACTTCAAAAGCACCACTGAGCTTCCCATTGTGAATTGCTTGGCTGGCATGTGGCGTCTTCATATAGTTGTTGAATGAGGCTGATAGAGGTTTGTGGTATTCCGTAGTGTTGAAGCAGTTTCCAAATTACCTCTCAGTCGACGCTGTCAAAGGTAGAGGGTTGACTGTCATTCTGCACTCTGTTCTATGATGATGTGGAGCATGGCGTTGCAATTTGGTCTGCACATGATTTGTACTTCCTGAATCCAACCAGCCTGTTTCGATCGTGGTTTTGAATCCAGTGCATCCTTCAGTCTCTCCAAGATGATGCGGTTTAATATTTTGCTTGAGGTGGACAGGGGCGTGATTCCGCACCGGTTCTTGCAATTACTGAAGTCTCTCTTCGGGAGTTTGACAAGGTAACCCTTCTTCCAATCGATCTGCAGGTACCTTCTCTTCCTTCCACACCCTCTGCATAAGTGGTGTGAGCATGTCCGCTGTTTTCTCCGTGTCTGTTCTCAGTGCTTCTGGCGGGATCCCATCTGGTCCTGCTGCTTTCCCGCATTTCAGTAGCTTTATCGCGTTCAGGACTTCCACTTTTGTTGGGGGGTTTGTGTTCACTTGTAGTTCTGTAGATGCAGGTGGTGGTCGATCCAAGAGCTCTTCGAAGTGGTCGGCCCATCGTTTCCTTTGTTTCTCTTCTTTCGTAATTAAATTTCCGTCATCATCTCTTATTGGTTTCGTCTGCGCTGATCGCTTCCCTGCCAGATAGTAACCTGGTTATTTGATGCAATGTTGTCAGGTCTCTCTTACCTGCAGCCTGTTCTGCTTCACTTGCCAGTGTTTCGTAGAAGTGTCTTTTGTCTTTGTGTGCACTCTTCTTCACTTCTTTGTCCAGTGTAGTGTTTTATACGTTGTACTCGGTTCCTCTTCCTGTTGTTCATCCTTGCACTACACTGGTTTATCTTCTGCTTCACCATCCTCCTGTCACTCCTCTATCAGCTTCCATGTGTCCGTCGAGATCCATTCCACTCCTTGTCTTTTTTCTTCTTCCTTCCTAATACGGTTGGTTATGCAGGTTTCTTTCCACATGGCTTTCAAAGAGTTCCAGTGCTCATCCACACAGGTTTCTTCATTGATGTTGCTCGATATCTCCCTTTTTATCTTGATGGCTGACTGACGTGAAGATGTCCTTTGTAGTTTCATCCTTCAGTTTCCGAGTGTTGTACTTGAACTGTGGTTTATCGCCAGTTTCCTTGAAGGCTTTTAACTTGATTTCGAAGGTTCCTTGCACTAGACAGTGAGTGGTCTCAGCCTACATCTGCTCCTCTTCTTGACCTAGTGTCCAGTAGGCTGGCTGCATCTCCACTCTATTCACATTGAGATGAAGTCGATCTGATTTTTAGTGTGTCCTGGTGTCTGGTGAAATCCATGTCGCTCGCTTTGTGGATATCCTTGTGCTTGAACATACTGCCTCACTGCAATCACCAAATGGTTGAGTGCGCAGAACTCTGCAAACAATTCTCCAGTCTCATTCATTTCACCGAGTGCTTCTCGACCCATGGATTGTTCTCTTCCTGTCTTGTCCCCTCCCAGTTTGGCATTCATATCAGCCCATCCACTAGAAGTTTGATGTTGCCAACTGGGGTTTTGTCCAGTACTGATTGCAGTTGTCTGCAGAATTCCTCCTCCTTCTCTTCATCTGCATTATTTGTAGGTGTGTAGCATCGTACAATTGTGACTTTCCTTCCTTCTGAGTTGAACCTTGCTGCTGTGATCCTGATGCTGGAGGAGACTGGTTCCCACTGCATGAGAGAGAGCCTTCGATGCTCTTGGGAGGGGGACATCATGATAGCCAGTCGAAAACTCAGTGTGCTCGTGGTTGTTGTCTGGGTGACAGTATCGGAGTAGATTATTGATTCTCCAGTTGACAGTTTGGAGTCCACTTCCATTCCATCTACTTCGCAAATTCCTAGCACTTCAATGTGATACCTTATCATCTCGTTTGCTATCTGGGCGGCCTTGCTGGGCCGGTATAAGTTAACCCTTTCTCTCTTGGTTCAAAGAGTACCTAGAACGCAGGCAGCACTGCACCAAGGTAAATAGAATGTGGTCAGAGTGGGGACCATCGACGTCAGGGATATCCCACGGAGCAATCGTGTGACTTCTGTTCCTCCTGTTCGTCAACGATCTGCCACACAAAACCCCTTCACCCAACCTCCTCTTCGCTGATGACATCGAGATTTCGAGGGCAGTAAACGAAGAGGGTGACGGTACAGAAATCCAAAACGACCTGCAGCAACTTGAACTCTGGTCGTCGGAAAACGGCTTGAGCTTTAACCTTTGAAAGTGCAAATTAATGCACTCAGTACCTATGAAGCAAGGACAGTTGGATTCCAGTACAAGTTGAGCAGCCGTGCTATCACCAAAATATACACGGAAAAAGATTTGGGGCTCAACTTCTCAAACACCCTGAGCACACTACTAAGAAATAGCAGCCAGAATGAACTTCACTTTGCACTTTCTGCGTAGAGAGTTTGGTGCTCACACCCCTAAACTGTTTCTTACAGTTTTCAAATCTTATGTACGGCCGCATCTAAAGGTCTTCAGTGCATTGGCACCCCCAGCACTCAGGAGAGACTCCTATCTCCTTGAAAAAATACAAACGTCTGCAATGAAGTCAGTTGTGAAACTAAATACCCTGAAAGATTAGAAAACCTAAATCTACTCACCTTGGGCTGTCGGAGAAAGAGGGGTGACATTATTGTGGTTTACAAGATCACCCATCACGAAGATCACGCAAAAATATTAGCCTTGCCTGCAACACGAGGAAACCCCATCAGTATAATACACTAGAGATCTAAACTTTGCTTATTAAGAGTATGTGCTTCATGGAATGCCTTCCCGTAGCACGTGGTGACAGTCCCATCTTTACTTCGTTTCTACCTACTGCTCCTGTTGATAGACCTACATCATCTACTAAGTTATCCAGTAACTAGACCCACACCACCTACTTTAACCTTCCGGGTAACTGCTATGTACTTTTCCCCACTACCTTGCTATTACTATTTAGGGACTTACACAGACAAGAGTTACGACAGATCCCTAATCTTCCCAGTAACCCGTAGCCCACCAATCACCACAAATTCCAAGTGCTAGCCCACAAGTACATTCACTCCACCGGAGCTGAAAGCAGAAGAGATTTCCCTGTCCACTGTAGGAGGAAGCCGAACAACACAAATCAAGCCCCAAGAAGTAAACGCAAGAAATCAAGAACTGTCACTTTTCTATGTTTGAACTACCAGTGTTAAATGTTGTTGGAAGATGTAATGAATAACTACAGATGTGATAACCAAGACAAAGACTGACTATTTGCTTGATAAAACAAGGATGAAAGCGTCCGCAAATGCGAAAGTGAAGCATGGTGACCCTTACAACATACGATGCACAATACACATGTATGACCAAGGCGTAATCATACTTCGCAATTAGAATCTCGAATACATAGTACTCTTAAACCAGATAATTTTCAGTGTAGACTTACCGCACTAGGTGCTGAAAAAAAGGTCTCATTACTGTGTGATGCAGGCCAATTTTCATGATGAGTCGTACATAATGTTCCTGTGACACATTTGAGCACACCTGTGATTCCGTATAATGTACCATCTACTGTAGTGAAATATAGATCAAGTTCCCCATCCAAATCGATATCATCTAGTAGAGGATCGGATATGACAGTAAAGTCATGCGCGTTGAGAAGCCACCTAGTTATGAAAAATGCATCTTCTGAAGAAATATTTCCTATATTTCTGCGTAAAATGAACGTTTGGCATCGACAAAGTAAGGAAAGTAAGAGAACAAAGTGTCTAGAATCCAAACACATTATAGAGCGTCTTCTTATAGCAAAGAATCGCTGATTAGCATGGAATATGATTATTTTCGTCCATTCTTTTGCTCTAGTAACTCTCGGACGGTTGTACACAGCTTTCCGAAAAGTTCCTTCGGATTGGTAACATTTTCAATCTAAGCCTAATTAAGAACCTCAAAAAATATCTGTACCTTGTGCTTGTTTTGAAAATAAATCCCGCAGTAGAATCCTAAGATGAAACACAACTACAACGTATAAAACAACAACAGAAAACCTACAGTCTTGGGGAACATTTTAGGCGCGTGAAAGCAAATGCATCCAATATCCAATATCTTTTTACGAGCAAGTGTAAATCATTTGATTTCTTCGAGCTTTCTTCTAGGTCCTGTGGAACGGTTCCAGGTCTGTAGGGGATTCCAATGCTAGTATTCAGTAAGTGATGCAGTGGGTTTCCAGGAGAGCTCATTATGTTGTGAGTCGTTATCAAGTCTCATCTTAGCCTTCTGTATTCTAGAAGATACAGATCCAGCGCAACCAGTCGTTCTTCATACGCTTCAAACCTAAGTCCTCGAAAAAATTTGGCTGATCGCCACTGGATGAGCTCGGAGCCTAATTTGTCCCTCCGCAGAAAAGGGGAAAGATGACGGTCCCGAACTCCAGGTGAGGCCGTATGAAGCCGCTGAAAACTTGATGAAAATATCTACGACTGAAGTGTCTGAAAATCCGCGCAATGCTTACTGTTGTCGAGTTTCCGTGAAGTGCGCCTCCGTCA